CACGTATAGCATAGAATAATGATTATACGTGGCAAAAATGATTTTGCACGTTTATTTGGGTCAATGTGATTTTAAAACAACCTGTGCCAAGTACTTTTAGGAAAAAACTTCGTGAATTAAGTTAAAATATTAAGCTAAAATATTATGTTAATATAATTTTAATAAAAATAAAAATTATGATAATTTACATAAAAATAACAATAAAGATTCTGTTAGTAGAAAGAAAATATGACAAAGTAGATATAAATTCGTTAATTTAACCATTACAGAGTAATTAAAATTCGATACAGAACAAAATATTTGAATAGCAAGCATAAAGCTGTACAAATCGGGCCTACCTGCCTTAAACCGCCCTAATTGTTCGGAATGAATTTTCGAGCTACCATCTTAAATCAGATTGAACTAGCTTCCGTACAATTATTCTTTTGTCAGATTCGTGATTCTCGACAATTTCTCAACCTTGATTGAGAAAAACTTCCCCATTTCGTCCGCTAAGAAAGGCACCAGTGACGAATAACGTATGTCCGTGGCCGATGAAATGCGATAACGCGACCAGCTGAGAGATCGCTTATGTGATTGATTCTGAGATCACGTGCAGATTTTCCTTCAAGCTCGTTAGATCAACTTTCGTGATTAACCGATTATAGAGCGCGAATTCTGCGCACGCATATCTACTATCAAATGTCGTGATACCACATGTTAATACGATCATTGAAACATTTTCATTCGTGGCATTCTGATACATCAGCGACCTTTTATTCGCTTATATACTCTGTTAAAAATAATAAAATTGTTTGTGCGATCTGTTTGAGGAAGACGATGTCCGAATAGAAAATCTGCGGTCAATTGGATCTATTACCTTTTCGTTTCCGCGTAGCTGCCGAAATAAAATTGTGTTTCAAGATAGAACTCCGATGAGGAAGAGGGACATTTTTAACTTAGAACTGACGACGATTCGCACTCGAGTCTTATTTTTATCTGACCAAATTATACATTTAAAAATGTATTGCGCATTACATCAATTTTTATTACATCTTATTCGCAAAATCGAAATACGGACATGGCGCCAAAGTCACAGGATATTGTCCATAGTCTAATGCTAGTGACTCCCGTAGAAGTTAACGTATGGGTAGAATATATAATGCATATGGAAAATAAGCTTATTATACACAAACTCACACATTTACAACAAACGTTATGAACTTGCATAATTCTTATAACACTGTGTTATTCTTATACCGCCATGTTAAAATAATTACACTCTCTTCGAAATTATATTTTCCATTTCATTAGTATAAGATTTCCGATTTGCGCAATAGCAAATTACTCTTCTTTCAAATTGTACCGTAGGTAGTAGCTGTTTCGACACTTATGGAGAAACAGTTCATCAACTCCCTGAATGGCTGAATTGGTCCTCCAAGCCCTAATTAGAGTTTAGAGTGTCCTGTTCACAAATGACTAAATTGAAGAAATCTAGAACAAGAGAGCTGGCAAAATTCAACATCTAAGAAATAATCAAGAGATTGTACGAATCTAGTTCACGTCGCTTCTTAAAAAACAATGAAACACCAACCGATACAATGAGACTACTGTCCTCGCAGATTTTTTTTTCTTATACGCGAACTCACTTTCTTCTGTCTTCTGCCTTTTTCATCCGCTATTTCGCAGAAATCAAAATGGGTGGGAATGGCGATAAGGGATACCAATTAAAGTAACGGTATTTAAACTTGAACACACGTAGGTATAAAACACGTTTAAACTACATTCTTGCACGTAACTGTAACTTGTGTGACGCAACGGTACCTGATGTTCTTGCGCGAAGATGAATGGAGACCGCGAACAGTTAGTTCTTTCTTGTCTCAGCCAACAAAATAGAGCATCAGGTAGGTTTGGATTTCCAAATACCGTGCAATTAGAGGTTTGTTGGAGAAGAAACGTACGACTAGGAAATCCTTACTTATAGCTAGTATGACGACTCCAACTCTGAAAAGAAGACGCGAGAAAATCATCTTGATTTCTCACATAGAAATGATAAACAGGAAGCAATTTGTCGGTCTTCAAGCGTTGACGATCAATCTTATAAAATGACTTTGTCATGTGTTTTCAACGATACGGACATCGACACTGCTTTATTTCTAACATGGTTAAAGACGCTTATATTTCTCTTTGTCATGTGTTGTCAAATGGAATATTGTATTTTGAAATAGTGCGACTAGGAACGAACAATGTTAAAGTGTAGTTTTGTGTTGGAATAATTGAATTGCAATAAACGTAAATGAATTGTTTCCGATTCAATATAAATCATGGACATAAAAAGAAATCTGAAACAAGCGTTAATTCATTTATACGCTGAATAAATTCATAGAAATGAGTGTTCTTCGCATAAATAATCTTTTTTTTCTCGAGCGATGTAACATGGATTGTCTTTCCAGAGATCAATTCCATTAAAACGCTAACTGTTACATATTATTTTAAACTGTTTTCAACATTACAGGATCAAAACTTCTCTTGACTTTAAAGTGTGATTACTTCCTAATTATTTCCCAAAATTAACTTTTATTATAATTATCCAGACATCGTTATTCGAAAGATTTAGTCGATTAATTCGAATATAGATGTTAGTACGAACTCCGCAATAATAAACTACACAAGCTTAATGAAAATAAACCCTATAGCATAAGCCATAATGAAAAAAAAAGTTACCACTGCCAAAACTAATCACTTGTACGCCTTATGTATAAATGAATATACATTAATTTACATAGATGCGTTCATATGGAAAACAAGCATTATGTTGATTAATAATTTCCGTGCACTTTGCACGCAGCTCTCGAACTAATTTACTTAGTATCAATGACGATTTATTTCGCCATGAGGGTCCAAGATGAATAGATCATGCTGAACGCGATACTCGGTTCGTCGGAGGCCAATGATCTCTGCTCGTTTCTTCGTAGTTACACGACACAAACTATACTTCACGAGTATTTTTTTGCAAGCTCAGCTTTTTATTTCAAATCGTAATACGATTAACTGCATGCAGTTTTATGTTAAGTTATCTTTCATTAACTGTTTTTGTAGTCAATACGTATACCATGAGCATAAATTCGTGGCACGCAGGTAAAATCAAGAAAATTTTATTACTTAAAACAAGATGAAAATCAGGAATAACAAAATTGCGTTAGTTTTATTTTTAAGAACATCAAATATTGAAAACTTGGCAAGTAGACGTGTATTTGACTAATTTCTAACTGGATAAAAAAAGACAATTGGCAGGAGGCTATTCTACACTTTGCATGCTAAGACATGTCGAAAATATAGAATAAAACATTTTTTTATCTGACGTCACATATTCGAGAAAATGAAATTTGAAAATTTCTTGACCAAACACGTTGAAACTCTATTTTCGTCAAACCAAAGCACGTCGAGGCTCCAATGAGAAACTGTTATTCTATACTTTTTTCTTACATTTGTATATAAAATAACTTATTGTCAATTGCCTATTTTTGTATATCTAAGAATTGTTCAAATACACGTGTGTACGTATACTTGACGAGCTTTTAAATTTGACTTTCTTAAAAAAAATACCTCCAACGCAATTTTGTTATTCTTGATTTTCGTTTTATTTATCTATCCAGTCTGTCTGATTTTACTTGTACCATAAATTTATACCCACGGTACATATATAGATCATTCGTATATCTTTTATCGAATAACAGAGAACGTAACTATTTACAAATATTTTTCTGCAAATATATTCTTCAAGTGTACTTTTTTACGTTTAAGTTCAAGATATAAAATTTCCAGTACGCTGAACGTTACGCTGTATTCCAAGATATACTTACAGATAGATCTCACACGAGCAATGATTAGAATAATCTATATTCTGTACGTTTAAAAGTTCATGGCGTGATGTTGAAAATGATATAATAAACATTTGTAATCGATATCACGATAACACGTTTACAAATTTTAAATTAAAAAAATTAACAAATTTATCTATTGAAACTATATGCAATATAACTGTGTGTATATGTGGAAAATACTCGAAACTGAAAAACACTAAACATGCATTTTAACGAGTAATATAAAAGGTATATTGTAACTACTATTCTGTCATTCAGTAATCAAACTCACTTTTCCTACTTCATATGCAACAACCGATTATCTATCAAAGAATAACCATTAATATCAAGATGACGTCAGCTTAATAATTACTCACTCAGAGTGTTTGTTATTCAGATTATGTACATAATAGATTATACAGATACTATTACTATTACAGAATTATTTCTTTCATTATACAAATAATATAAATCATCATCAATGAATATCATTCAAATCATGATGTTGAAAAAATACGCAATCGTGATTTCGCTATTTTAACTTTGGCATGTGATAACGGTTTATATGGAACTGATACGAAAATAAATAAGTTCATAGAACGATGTTATTTATCAATTAAATACCTCATGTAACGCGATATAATCGTTCGAATTGCGTCAATTAAATAAAGCCATAGAGTAAATAAAGTAAAAAATATTAGTCAATCTAAATATTCAATACTGAGATTTGGATCTACGTGTATATATATTCTTACTTTACTATTTATCAACTCACTTGAAATTGTTGAATTTACAATCATTACGTATATACAACATTATACTTTAATAAGTTATTAAACTATTTAGACGATAAATCGATATTTACTTTTCGTAAAATCGGTTTCATGTTTCTGTGCATTGTACCTCGTTTACGAAACTAATCCAAGGGATATATCTTTATCGTTAATATCTAATTAATAAGGATGAATTTTTCTTAACAAAATGCAAAAAATACGAGAGTTTTAAGAAGGTTAATTATGTTAACCAAAGTGATTATCGAAGGATCAATTTTTAATAAAAATGCCATTAATTAAAAAAATAATTGTTATCTCTAAGACGATCGTATCTTAAAGAGGCAATCAAAATCAGGCTAGAGAATTAATGAATCACCGATTTATTAATCATTCGAGACAAATTATCGATATCAGCTAAAGGAATCTTAATTTAGGATATTCAGTATTTAACAACTGTGACTAAAATTGTTCAAATATCGCTGGTATCAAAGGAAGAAATCTTTTTTCAATATAACGTATTTTCTGAGAAAACGATATCGGGAAATGATAAAAAAGATGTTTCTGGATACAAATATATGCTCGCGTAATATTCGTGATACGGTCTTGGATGAAGAAAGAGACTATAAACCAAACCGGATGAACATGTTTTTCGGAGCATCGCTAATACCTAATTTTATGTACAATAACGGAACACCTAAAGAACGTCGTCTTTTTGTGGATGACTAAAAGTTTATAGAAACGAAACGGGAACCAACTCACGTTGCTTCCGAAAATAGAGAACGGTCGGGTTCTCTTCTGCATTTTTCTAGACGCGTTGTAACATTTACAACCTTAGTTCGCTATGTATTCTTTAGCAAGAACACGATCGTAGAGCGTGTTATATAACAGTTCCTCGATCACACCTCCACACAAACACTGAAGTTAAATCCTGTTCCTCGCTACATTGAGAACGAATCAGTAGAATTAGCAACTACGAAACAGGGTCACCTTGTTGAGCTCATTGTTAGCCGATAGCGAATGAATCATATACAATCATTATTGCATAGTTACCAAATAGTTGCGGAAAAACAATTGCATATTTCTTATTTGCTCCTTTCTTTCTCCTCTTTTTATATTAGCCTTGCACGAATAGTATGTTCGGTGTATTTAAACATAGTTCTTTGAAATTCTTTTATAATAATTGAAAATAGTTCTGGGCCTTCTTGTACTCTACTTTCAGCTACTGGTTGTACGATAACCAATAAGTAAAAAGATATATACTTTCAGGTGACAAAATGAAATGGGCCTTATAATTTAACACTGAGAACAAGAGATTTCCTTTCTTAAGAGTCCTCTCAAGTATACTTTTGTTATAATTTAAAAAAAAAAATCACTGAAGGATAATGCTGTTACGCTATGTTAAACAAAAATCCAAAGATATTTATCTTTCGTTAAAAAGGAAAAGTTTGTATATGATTATACTCTTGTTGGTGAAAGTAATAGAAATTACTAATAATAATTTTTACCGAATCGTGAAAGGATGAAAATGAACCGTCCTTCGCTCGATAATTCATCAACTATATAACAATATTAGTAAATTAACAAGTTACAAATTATGTCAAGTTAAATTAAAGAGTTACAAGTGATAGATTTCTATTTTGTGATTATATTTTTGTGATGATTAAATATAATAATTAAATGACTTGTAATTTGTAAGATTTACTTGCAAATATTCATTTGCTTCATTATTAAACTCATTTTACTGTTATACAACTCGTAAAATTTCTTTCCATCCAGATTTTGTTTCGATGTTATTTGTAACCATTAACAATAATAACTTTCCTATCGTTCGCTTATTATTAAATAATAATAAAAAGATTTAATTGAATTTGTTTAACTTTATTAATTTCTAGAATAAAAAAATGTAATGGTGTGGCATATGTAATGGCATAAATTTCTTCCGATAATAACTTTGAAAAGTTAATACTGGAAAATTAAACTTAAAAAGCTTATAATTTCTAACTTGTACAATTTCACTAAGAATATCAGTTCAATTGTGAAAAATGGTTCCGGCTCTATTACTTGTATTGTATTAAAATTCATTCAGTATCAATGATCAATATCATAAATGAATGAATCGACGACTCATGGAAATTCACCGAATTAATTAAAAGTGCAATTGGAAAAATGTAGCGATCAAGCTGTGAGCTCAACACACGATAAACCCACTTCTACTTATACGTTCCTTGCATCGAATTGCACTGCTTCCAATCGATGACGTTCACGCATCTCACGCAGCTCTAAAATTAAAAAGCATCGACGACAGGTTACGACATCAGCTTATACGAATACAAATCCCGATAGCGTACTTCAACTTTCTTTTTCACTTTCGTGACTAAATATTCACATTTGCATAATTTGAATTATTTTGGTGCACTATTTCCCGGTAAAAATGATTTGCATAAGATCAATTCACGGAGAATACGAGCAAGCAGGTATATATATGTACATATAAACAATAGAAATTTACATATATTCCTATCAATTCTGAATACTTACATATTTCATCGCAAAGCAATATTGATAACTTGAATAGATACTTGGTAATAACTGCAAATTTGCAGAAATTATCGAAATAAAAATGATTATCATTATGAAGACGCTATTAATTGAAAGGATATATTAAATGATAGGATCTAATTGTAAAAAAAAATGGTAATAACATTATTAACCCTACAACGTAAATTTAGGTAAAGCTATCCCTATATCCTACTTATTAACAACTATTCCGCTTGTCGTAGTGGGAACATTATATCTATTCGTTCGAAATTCGCTTGCTATAAATTAAGTGCTTTTAACACACTGTGAATGAAAATAATGGAAAAAAGTGGCCCGCTAAAAGTAATGCCAAGAAACGCTTCGTTTAAAACGGCTCCTTTCGAACCACTCAATAGCTGTGAAATTGCACCCGCTGCTTGTTACTGCACGGCAATTTTCAGGATACAATTACTATCGTTCAACCAGCAAAAAACGATAGCCTGACTAACACGTCTTTCGATTTATTTACACGTGTCAATTTCATGAAGTACTTACGAATGAATACTATTTGATCTGACTGATACGATATAACTGATATGTTGGATAAATACGATTATCAAAATATTAAATGAGTATTAGTAATAATAATTTACTTTAGTATTTTTTGCAAAGTAATATAATTGAAATCGATAATAATTACTTAATACGCAATTATAAATAATAAGCAAATAATGATAAATAATTATAAATTACACATTTGCCTGAATTTTATAATTTAAGTGCTCTCATCATAACTTTATAAATTTAGTAATCACTACTGGTTTCATTTACTTTATTATATACGAATATTCGTATCTATAAATAATCCTTATATCATGAACGTTACACACGATTACACGCGTTCCGCAAATTTTACTGCTATCGAATTTTACTTTCGTCGAAAGTCAAATGTTTACTTATTAAGTAATCAGTGCACGGTGAACGTTCGCACGTTCGCTGCTTATGTGGAATTAGTGCACGTTGCACTCGATTTTTCCCAACTGTTGCATCTGATGTAGAACTCGTATAGTACAGATCGTCCCTCCCTGAATACACTCACTGGTCATTCTATTTACAGAATGACATATTTCGTGGTACGTTGGCACTTTCACGAAATTTCTTCGAAGTTCGTGACTTCTACGCGTAACTTCATCCGCAGTTTTTAATGATAACCTCATCGCTCTGCGAGACCTTTAACATTATCGACATTCACATCGCTGTAACACCTTCAGACCGTGTACGAACTTGATCTTATCGAGGGATCGAAGCACATAGAAATTGCATGCTCGCATTGTGGTTAGATTAAACGTCGAAACATTTACACAAAACACACTATATCCGAGAGAGGCTATTTTTAAGATTCTTGTCGCACCATATTCATATATCTCGCATATTTTTCAATGCTAAATTATGTGATGGACGTATGCTAAAAACATAGTAAATGGATCTTTTTCTCACGTTTCACAACTAGCGATCGATAAGATACACTCCTAGATAGAATTAACCCGTGTAGAAAAAAGAAATTGCATCAGAATGTGCCTATGATGTAATAGGACAGGAACATAAAACAATACAAAAATGCAGTAAACGTAGTACGAAACGTACTAAAATATGTAACGTACGGAGACAATAAATAGTTCTTACTGAAGATATTTATATCAATTCCGTATACGTATACCATATAAAATACAGCATAGAGAACTTATTAACGAATAGTTAACCCTTCGAATCACAAAACCAGCGGTCGCAATATAGTTGTTCCGACTATCTAACAAACATATTCCAAATCGTTTTATGCAGAAGATAACCAGAGAATATACATAGCTCGCAATGTTGCTATCTCAAAAACGTTGGCTCCAAGTGTAACGAACCCTAACCTTGACATTATGAAATCCATCGTCAAGTATATACATAATATAAAACAAGGTCAATAGCAAGAAGGATACTTACTCAATAAAAACGACATATATTCATAATAATCTAAAGTTCGATCGATGCGCCCTCCTTTTGAGCGGTAGAAAGGTAAATAAAAGAGGTGGATGCCCGTGAGAAAATCAGAAAGAGATATAAATTTCGGATGAATTTCTCACCTGATCGATCGGCACGTCGATGAAATCAGCGAGCCAGGAAAATGTCCGGGAACCGTCATAATAGTCCTCCATGGTCGTGGTCATTGTCAATGGTCATACAAATCAAATAAATACGCGCGCACACAGCACCCGTCACGTTGACGGTACCAACGTGTGCCTTTAGAGGACACGGTCCTACTCCGTTCGGTTGCTCTCTCTCGAGGGAATATGATCGTTAGAACGCAACGACTCAACTACGATAGAGATGCGATGACGCCGTCAACGACGGTTCCTGAAATGCAGCGCCGCTACGTTCCGCGCCGGCTAGCAGCCTTGCCGGTATTCAGGGCCGTATCTACGGGTAGTATAATCAATTGCACGTGATGTGCTGGACTGTAGATCCTCGCTTATAGTTGAATGGTGAAATAGTATTTGGCTACGGGCCCGTAGATATCTGGCTCGTACATCTGGCGTAACTCGATGATTAATCAAATATTAACGACTGTGACGGAATTCAAATTTTAAACTATAATGTTTCTTTTTCATACAGAATTCTTTTAGTAATACACGTATGCATGTATTGCTTAATTGCAAATCTTACTAAATTTACGATATCCTTTTACATAATTTTTCACAGTTCAAGTAAATGTATTGATTTATAGATGACTTTTTATTATAATTTGCTGTGCATGAATTTTCAGATTTATTTTCCTTCATCAGGTTTTATAATTATATATGTGTGTGTGTGTGTGCATATGTCATATATTGAAATTAATTTTATCGTAAATATATTCATAGCTAACCGTATTTTATATTATATAGGAAATAAAATGAAACGTATTTGCCGTACGTAGGTTTATTTCAAAAAGGTATACCAGATAATCGGAAAAATAATAAGCAAGTCAAACATACGAACGAACAAGACATAATCGCAAAAAACGAATATTCCAAGGAGGATATAAGATCATTAAAGTCTTAATACCTATTTGTATCTGGCGTTCATTCTTATAATTATTAAATGGCATTGTTATTGTCAAATATGTAGCATCATAAATCATAATATAATATCGTAATGACTTCATCAAGAACTTTTTGTAAAATTTTTCGATATAATAACAAAATTGAAAACTAATTCCTTTTTTTATGAAAATGCGAAGGCTTAGCTTTAGTGAAAACAAATTTATGGAAAAACCACAAACATATACATGTATTAATACAATAAAAATATTATCTTTTTCGTTAAAGAACACTTCATGTGTATTAACTTTCTGTATGATCCAACGGTCTAGAAGTGGGGAAGCAACGAGAGGAGGAGATAGAAGAGATGCTGAAGGAAGAACTTAATGCCAAAGCATACAGTCATGAACATAGAAATATAGGAATATAGCACAAGTACACTAGGATATACGAGAGGGAAATTTTCAAGAAAAGAAAGTAAGGAGGCGAACACGGAAAAGGGAAAAGGAAGAACTCAACTCTCTGAATAATACTATGGTTCTTTTTGCATATTTTATGAATTGTTGAAGTATTATTGTACTTACATACGGATATACGTACATATAGGAATGGAGCAATAAATACTTATACTTGCTTACTAACTTTTTATACATTTTAGTAAAAAATTACATGAATTATTTAAATAGGTCTTTTAGATCTTTACAACTACTATCTCAAAGATAATCTAAAATTAATTCTATTGTATAATCATGTTATAAATATTTATATTTTAAATATAATATGCCTTATTTTATCATAGTTTAAAATATTAAATATTTATTGTTATAGTTCGAATGCATTTTTTTTGTATTTAGTATCTCACATTATTGACTAATTTAATTAAATATTGTATTTTTCATAACAGGAAATGTTACTAGTTACTAGTAGTTACGTAGTATTACGTAGTTACGTAGTAACATCTTTTAATTCGTAAAAAAGAGTTACCTTGTATGAAGTATATAAGGTACTAGATACCCACTGGTAAACAATGATTTGGTGATTATCTAATTATTAAGACCACGTGTGTGCGGGAAAGATTAAAATATTGATTTTATAAAATATTGAGTAAATTATTTTGTAAAATTATAAAAAATACAATATACTCAAACAATGGCTGCCGATGATGCTATGGAAGGCAATAAACTGACAGAATCAGAATTGCAAGAATTTTTTATGGCTGAAAAGCAAAAGGCACAAATTCAAGCTCAGGTGAAGTAGATCTTATGCCATAATCAGAAACTAAAAATGTTGTTCTTGTTACTTATGAATTGTTTTATTTGAAATTTGAAATTTATTGTAACGCATTAGAGAGGTTAATTTATTGAACATTGTGTATATTGCGTATATTGAACATGATTTTTTATTGATACTGTTGTTTTATAATCAAAAATTTTTTAATAGCAATAATGTAATTTTAGATCCACGAATTCAATGATATTTGTTGGGAAAAGTGTGTTGATAAGCCAGGAGTCAAATTGGACAGTCGAACAGAAACATGCTTAAGTAATTGTGTTGATAGATTTATAGATGTTTCGCTTTTAATTACAAATCGTTTTGCACAAATTTTACAAAAATCTGTAGGAAACATGTAATATTAAACAAATTGTGCTTATAATAGTTGCATTGTTATTGCCTAATGTATGAAATAAAGCTCTTTTTATCTCATTTATATATTGAAACAAGTGTTTGCTCACACACGTATGTGTTGAAAATAAAACATTACTTAATATTGATCAAATAACAAAAGCAATTATGTATTTTCTTTAACAAAATCATTTTTTTAAATATATTTATACAAAAATTCAATGTATATGTTACAAAATGTACATCTTAACTTACAAATAGCTGCAAAATTTTTCAATTTTTTTGAGGACTATAGAAATATAGTATATAACAACTATGATGTTATAACAAGCATGTTTTTTTTCAAGTGATACATGCTATTTTAATATCACATTATACATATTGAATAACTTTTAAGAATATAATAATTATGTTGAACTTAAGTAGTGCAATTAATTGCATTTATATATATAAATTAAAAATCTATAGAAAATTCTTCTGATTCTGTAAAGATGTCAACAAAAAATCAGAATCTCCTAATTGGTAGAAATAACATTGTAAGTATTTTTGCAGTTAAAGTATTTAACTTTCAGTTTATATATTCAAATATTTGAAATGCTGAATCTCATTGTTGGGGAATTCAAAAAATAAATTTAGCAATGCAATTATTTTTAATTTTAATTAATTTATTAAAGGAAGTTGCATCTCTCTTTTGCTACAGAAGATGATCGAATACATTTGCTGGAGCAATAACAATTTAGATAAATGCTTGAACATTTAATTTGTAAATTTATTTATGATAAACATAATAATTTTCTACTGAGTTTAAGGAATTGTAATGATAACCCCATAAAGAAGAGCACTCGCTTTTGGAATATATAACCAGAAAATATTCAAAAGTCTTAGGAAAAATATAGTACAAGAGATGTAACTCCATTTAAATTCTTTAATATTCTCGAAAATATATATTTTAATTGAAATGTATAGGACTAATTTGTAGGTATCATTCTTGAATGTCTGATAATTTACTAATTCAAATTCACGAAGTGTTAAAGATTAGTTTGTACATGAATCTTTTGAACTAAAAATAGATATTTTATATATTTCAGCTAAATGTAGGTTTGTTACAGTAGTATTTAGTATTTTTTGCAAAAATTAGAATATATTTTATTTGTTTTCAACAAAGAAGAACTATTCAAAAACTAAAAGTTAATCATGAAAGGATAAAATTTTAGAATAGAAATATCAATTTATACAGGAACAGTTTACTTTAGAATATTAGTGTAGGAAATTGGAATGGTTATTTGTATCTTAAGATTAAATATTATGTTTTCTGATTTGTTTATAGTACTATATTAAAAATGCACTCAATATGCAATTAATATCAACTATAAAGTAAAAATAAATATAAATAACAATGTTTTTCAGCTCAACAATTGTGGACACACCAACTTTTATATGGAAATAGTTGTATAACAAAATAGAATTTGCATATACATTTTGTGTAAGTTGTATGTCCATTTTAACGCGATATATATGTATATATTATATATAATCTAGTATGTATTATATATAATATATATTTTCTGTGTATTCAAACATATATGTATTACATTATTTTCAATTCTCTAATTAATAAATACTTCTGAACATTGCCAGTGTTACTATGCATAACTTGCATTGAATTTTTAATTTAACATGATCAGATGCATACTGGCCTCTGTGGAAGACACATGTTGTAAAATGCATCTTTTTTCCAAAAATCTTTTGATTTCCATCCACACCAACCTTTGCTTATTATACTTGGTAAATGATCACGACCTGTATAATGAGGGTCCAAAATTAAGAATTTAACATCTCCAGTAATTTGATCATAGCTGACTCCTAAAATTGTATGTGCTAACACTCCTCCACCTATAATTTATTTATATATAAAATTTAAAAAAGTAAACGATTATTTTTACATCAGAGAGGAAGAGTTAATTACCAATCATTACTGGTGTACCCTGTGTCTGAAAGTGATGTAGTAGATTTGGAGCTAATGATGATACTTCTTCACCTGTAGATGCACAGAGTATTTTAACGCTAATATCCAAAAGACTTTCCAGTACAAAACCTACTTCCGTAGAGCCAATCCATTGTTTACTATCAATAAAATTTGCAGGTTTGTCTCCTATGTTAACTAAACATTTCTGTATTACACGATGAGAAGGTATTGGTATTTCAGCGTAACCTTGTAACCTGTAATGATTAATCTACAATTAAATAAAATTAGATAGAAAGTTTATAATTTCCTACAATTAAAGTTACCTGAACCATGAAATAATGGTTTGTAAGGATCTGTATGCACATCCCCAACCATTATCATCAAAATTATCTTGCATATAATGATGATACATATATGAACCTTGTACAAGTTGTACTTTTCGATTGCCATTTAATGTGTCTAATTAAGAAATTCATGATAAGATATAGAAATAGTAATATGATATAATGTAGTGCAACATACCGTAATATAATATAATGTGATATCATCACTATATTAAACGTACCATCATTTATCGAAATTGCTTCGTGAGGATTTCTAAGTATACTCTCTGTTTGTGAATCATTATCAAATTTCACAGCATTTGCATAACGAAAATACGGCCTAGTCATATCTAATCCCAAAATTTTATGTAAATTTTCACGATATTCCACTGAAATTTAATCAGATATATATACATATATATTATATTATATAAATATATTAAATTTTATATTTTACACAAAATGGAA